AGGTCTGTCTTAGTGTCTGAGGAGCTGAGAGAGAGAGATAGTTCATGCCACAGTTAATATATACAGCTATTGTTATCATTGAAAACATCATATAGGAGAAACGCACATACCTGGTCTTGGTGACAGCGGGGGTGACTGTGCTTGTGCTGGAGGAGACAGTCTTGGTGTCTGAGGAGCTGAGAGAGAGACAGTTCATTCCATAGTTAATATGTACAGCTATTGTTATGATTGAAAACAACACAGCTGAGACCTCAGGTACCTGGTCTTAGTGACAGTGGTGATGACTGTGTAGTTTCCTGATCTGACAGGTTATTTAGGATAGTGACAGTATAGTGCTTTGAATATAAAAGTATAACTGAATATAAAAGTATTCACAGCATAATCTCAAAGTATTCAGAGAGGAACTTTAACAGAAAGTTTGTACCTGGTCTTGGTGACAGCAGGGGTGACTGTGTTTGTGCTGGAGGAGACAGCCTTGGTGTCTGAGGAGCTGAGAGAGACAGTTCATAACAGTTAATAAACACAGCTACTGTTATCATTGAAGACATTACAATTAGGTACTCAGTCACTTACAGTGGAGTGACTAAGTTTGTCCTGTTTTGAAAGGGTATTTCGTACAGTATTTTGAACCTATGCCGTGACCTTGAGAGTTTCACAGAGTAATCTCAAAGTCTTAGAGAAGCTTTAACAGAAAGTCTGTACCTGGTCTTGGTGACAGTGGGGGGGACTGTCTTTGTGCCAGAGAGGTCTGTCTTGGTGTCTGAGGAGCTGAGAGAGAGAGTTCATGCCATAGTTAATACTGTTTATACAGCTATTGTTAACATTGAAAACAACACAGCTGAGACCTCAGGTACTTATTAGCAGTAGTGGTGACTGTGTCTGTCTTTCCTTGACAGGTTATTTAGCACTGTGATAGTAGAGTTTTTTTTTTAATTCATGGCTTTGAAAGAGATTCACAGAGTAATCTCAAAGTCTCAGAGAATCTTTAACAGAAAGTCTGTACCTGGTCTTGGTGACAGTGGGGGTGACTGTGCTTGTGCTGGAGACAGTCTTGGTGTCTGAGGAGCTGTGAGACAGA